TTGGTTGGAAAGCTAATTAAACTTCCAACTTGCTCAAATAGAATTACAAAAAGGCAAAATTGTGTTTTTCACAGAGATACAGTCCACTGGAATCACCAACACAGGACAACTGTTAGAGTATTTAGAGTCCTGAGATAACAAGGAATCCAGGCATCCTTTAGACAGTCTTCTGTTGTCCTTTCTTCCCAATCAGAGATTTGTGGATGTGTGGAATGACACCATCACCAGCAATTGTAGCCTTGATAAGCGAATCCAATTCTTCATCTCCACGAATAGCAAGTTGCAAGTGACAAGGAGTAATACGCTTTACCTTTAAGTCTTTTGATGCATTTCCTGCCAGTTCGAGTACCTCGGCGGTGAGGTACTCCATGATGGCAGCGCTGTACACAGCGGCAGTCGCACCCACACGTCCATGACTGGTCCTAGATTTCAGGTGTCGATGAATAAGGCACACTGGGAACTGCAAGCCGGCTCTCTGCGAGCGGGAAAGCGCCTTTGTCTTGGCCTTTCCGGAGTCCTTTCCAGCCTTCCCGCCAGCCATTTCGAATTCTGCTGAAGCTGAAGCAAGCAACGCAGAGAAAAGGCTAATTGGAACCACGGTGAGATCCCACCACCTACTCCTTCGTCGCACCACAATTCAAACTGCACCACATTTTCTTTATGCGACACATCATTGGTTGGCTCTATGTCTTTACTATTGTGAATAGTGCAGGGATGGACGTACGAGCACATGTGTCTTTTTAGTAGAACAATTTGTTTTCCATTGGGTACATACCCAGTAGTGGAACTGCTGCATCAGATGGTAGTTCTGCTTTTAGTTCTTTGAGAAATCTCCAAACTGCTTTCCATAGTGGCTGAACTAACTTACATTCCCACCAGTAGTATATAAGTGTCTTCTTTTCTGTGCAGTCTCACCAATATCTGTTATTTTTTGGCTTTTTAATCATACCCATTTTGACTGGTATGAGATGATATCTCACTGTGGTTTTGATTTGCAGTTCTCTGATTATTAGTGATGTTGAGTATTTTGTCATGTGCTTGTTGGCCATGTGTATGTCTTCTTCGGAAGAACATATGTCCTTTGCCCACTTTTTAATGGGGTTACTTGTTTTTTAACTTGTTGAATTGTCTAACTTCCTTATAGATTCTCATTGTTGAATCATTGTTAGATTCACAGTTTGCAAATATTTTGTCCCATTCTGTAGGCTGTCTGTTTATTCTGTTGGTAGTTTCTCTTGCTGTGCAAAAGCTCTTTAATTAGGTCCCACTTGTCAATATTCATTTTGGTTCCAATTGCTTTTGAGGAATTATTCATAAATTCTTTTCTAAAGCCTGTATCCAGAATGGTATTTTATAGGTTTTTTTTCTATATGATTCTTATAGTTTGAGGTCTTAAATTTAGATCATTAATCCATCTCGAGTTAATTTTTATATAAAGTGCAAGGAAGTGTTCCAGTTTCATTCTGTATATGGCTAGTCAGTTATCCTAGTTCAATATACTAAATAGAGAATTTTTTCCCTCACTGATTATTTTTGTCAACTTTATTGAAGATGAGATGGCTATAGGTGTGTGACTTTATTTCTGGCTTCTCTACTTCTGTTCAATTTGTGTTTTGTACCAGTTACAAGCTCTCTTGGTTACTGTAAACTTACAGTATAGTTTGAAGTCACCTAATGTGAAGCTTCCCAGTGTTCTTTTTGCTTAGGATCCCTTTGGATTTGGGCTCTTCTTTGGTTCCATATGAATTTTAGAATAAAATGACATTGGTAGTTTGATAGGAATAGCATTGAATCTGTAGATAGCTTTGGGCAGTCTAGCCATTTTAATGATATTGATTGTTTCAATCCATAAGCATGAACTGTTTTTCTATTTGTTTGTGTCATCTATGATTTTGTTCAGCAGTATTTTGTAGCTCTCCTTGTAGAGACCTTTTTGCCCCATTTGTTAGTTGTATTCCTAGGTTTTCTCCTGTGGCTATTGTAAATGGGATTGAGTTCTTGATTTGGCTTTCAGCATGAACATTTTTGGTGTATAAAAATGCTACAGATTTTTCAATATGTATTTTGTGTACTGAAATCTCACTGAAGTTGTATATCAGTCCCAGGAGTTTTGGAAGGTTCTTTAGGGTTTTCTAAGTCTGAGATGGTTCTTCTAGGTCTGAGATGGGTCTTCTACTTCTACTAGTAGAAGATGGGCCTCGCAGTCTTGAGGACAGTAGAAGGATGGGTCTTATTTTTAATCCAACTTCCTGCTCTTTGCCTTTTATGTGGAGCATTTAGACTGTTTATCTTCAATGTTAACATTGATATATGAGGTTTTGATTCTATTGTGAAGTGGTTAGCTGGTTGCTTTGTAGTTTCTATAGTGTGATTGCTTTATAGAGTCTGTGGGCTATATACTTAAGTGTGTTTTTTGGTAGCAGGTATTGTTCTTTCATTTCCATATTTAGAATTCCCTTAATGATCTCTTATAAGCCTGGTCTAATGGTAACAGATTTTCCTGGCACTTACTTGTTTGGACAAGATTGTATTTCTTTGCTTTTGAAGCTTAGTTTGGCAAAATATAAAATTCTTTTTTTGTAATTTTTTAAAAAATGAATGTTGAAAATAGGCTGAGCATCCTCTTAGCTTGACAAGGTTCTCTTTGTATGTGATCTGACCTTTTTCTCTAGTTGCCTTTAAAATTATGTTTTAGCCTTCGTTTTGGACAGCCTGGTGAATAAATGCCTTGGTGATGTTAATTTTGTATAGTGTCTCACATATATTCCCTGGGCTTATTGTATTTGGATGTCTACCTGTCTAGCAAGTTTGGGAACATTTTCTCAACTTATTAGCTCAAATATATTTTCTAGATTGGTAACTTTTACTTCTCTCTCAGGAATGCCAATAATCCCTAGGTTTACTCCTTTTAAATAATCAAGTATTTCTTGAAGACTTTGTTCCTTTATTAAAATTATTTTTTCTTTATTTTTGTCTGAGTTAGTTCAAAAGACTGGTGTTCAAGCTCTGAAATTGGTCCAGTCTGTTGATAAACCCTTCACTTGTATTCTGAAATTCCTTAAGTGAGTCTTTCAATTCCAGAAGCTTTGATTTCTTTTTAAGATGTTTATCTGTCACTCCATTTCCTGGACTGCTTTAGTAGTTTATTTGCGTTGATTTTCAACCTTGTCTTGGATCACTAAACTTACTTGCAATCCATATTTTGAATTGTTTATCTGTCATTTCTGAGTTGCCAGTTTGATTAGGGTTCATTGCTGGGGAGTTCATGCGATGCTTTGGTGGTTTTACAACATTCAGACATTTCATGGTGCCAGAATTCTTATGCTGGTTTCTTCTTATTTGAAGAGG